ATAAATATCAAATCATCATCAAATCAATATTGTATCGTATCGATATCGTATCATGATAAAGCTGGTGAGTTGCACACCCAAAAGTTACATTATCTAGGCAKTTGAAGCTTCTTAACATATTTTCTTTGAGTTTTTCATGACATTTTACTGTTTATTAACATGTTTTGATTGGTTTATTTCACATAAAATATAAAAACATTATAAAGTTTCTTCTACAATATTTGCCTGAAAAAGTAATTTTTAAAATGTCAACACAACTCAAACCGTGTTGATCTCACAAACCAAGCAGGTCCATTCTTCAGTCTTTTTGTCATACTGCAGGGCCTGTTTCTGGTTAAGGCATCCATATAACAGATGGTGCTGGCTGGTATGATGCAAACTTTATTTCACAGTATTTTTAAGAATTATCCCGATATCATGGTATTTGATGATATTTTTCTTTTCATCACAGCTCAGCTGGTATAAAAARGTAGAAACGCTGCTTATTAGCAAACCTCAGTCAGCTGAAGTTACTCTCTTTCTGCAACACAGAAACTATTTTCTTTTACTGTACTCCTGTCGCTGTTTCCCTCTACATGTTTTTTCTGCTTTACCTGGCTGAGGACAGTCATGCATTTTGAACATGGGGTCCAGTTCAGTCGTGAATGAGGAGGGCTGAGCAAAGATCATTATCATGCAAATTTACTTTGCGTATGAAATATATTKGTGCACATCACTGAAAAGGGGATGGCTAAAACAGGAGGTATTTTTTTCTTAGTCAGTCAATATAAGCAGCGAAGTCGCCACCCGCCACCAGTTATTTAGAGTTAGCTTGCCCCGTGTGCTGCCATGTATATGCACTAAGCGGTACAGCAAGAAAAATACATGACGTTTCAAACATGTTCAGGCTATTAAACCAGTATATGAAAAATCCATATAATAATGACAATAAAAAACATTTTTCAGTATGAACAGGTATACCATCCAACTCTAAACACCACTTTCATCCTGCCGAGACTTACCAGCAGCGTCACTTGCAGTGATATCAACGTTGTGTCCAAGAATGGCGTTGAGACAATCAAGATGTCCTCGTGCTGCTGCCAAATGAAACCTAAAATATGAAATAAATATGAGAAAATAATTAAATAAAAAGGACAAACAGAACATGAGATGGATGGATGTGGCAAGAAAGTGGCAGCAGAGATTTACGACAGGCAGGGAAAAAGCGATCTGGTGTAAAGAGAAAAGGGGGTGGTGTGTGTGTGTGTGTGTG